AGGATGGGGGTGGAGCTTGACACCGGGCCACCTGGCTTCCAGCAATGGTGGCGGGGGCTAGAGCCTAGGATGGTGTCAGGGTATAGGTCGCGCCATAGATAAGACTGCGCCATTTTCCTAACAGGCTTGAGCTGCACCTTTTCATGATTTTAAGGGAAGCCACAGGAAATCATTGGTGAGTGGCAAATCTTGTTTTACACCTAAAAATGTCTAGGAAAAAGTTTTCTAAACTGCCACTGACAAAGCACTGTAGGGTTTTTTGTTTTTTAATTTTTATTTGAAAGTCAAGAGTTACAAAGAGAGAAAAGGAAAGGCAGAGAGAGGTCTTCCATCTGCTGGTTCACTCCCCAATTGGCCACAACAGCTGGAGCTGCGCTGATTAAGAGCCAGGAGCATCTTCCGGGTCTCCCACGCAGGTGCAGGGGCCCAAGCACTTGGGCCATCTTCCACTGCTTTCCCAGGCCATAGCAGAGAGCTGGATCGGAAGTGGAGCAGCCAGGACTCAGACCAGCGCCCATGTAGGACGCCGGCACTGCAGGTGGCAGCTTTACCCGCTACACCACAGTAACAGTTCTCATCATAGAGAATTGGTTTTGTTTTATTTTGTTGTTTTTTCCCCCAGAAAAGCCCCGTCCCAGCTATCAGGGTCGCTGGGAAGGTTTCTTTCATTTTTGGCCTGATCCTTGCAACAGACCTCAGTAGAGGCCCCCCACAGAGGGAGGGGAAAGCTGCCCGGCGTGCCTGTGTTCTCACAGAGCTGCCACCTGGCACGTCCTTTCTTTGGCTTATGCCATCGGAGGAGATTTTCTGCAGCCCCAGAGCCCCAGCCATCTGTTTCCTCCTCTGTGAAGCCTGTCCCAAGTGTGTGCTGTCCCTGCCTTGGAGGTGACTGTTCCCTGCCCTGTGAGCGAAGAGCATCTCAGGGCACTGGCACCTGCAGTGCTTCTGCCATGACTTGGACCCACGTCCCATCTCCATAACTGGACTCCGTCACTTTGTGAACCCATCGTGCGTGGCTTGCAGTGAGTACATTCCTTCAGTCCTGGCTGCTGCTCTCAGCGTGCTAGACGGGGCAGGCTCGGTGTCCCTGTGAGTCTTCAATGCCAATGAGACACACTACTTTATCGCTTCGTTCCCACGGCACCACAGAGACCAGGGTGGACACGGATACCAAGCTTGTCTGAAGATGAAGACGATGGAACGGAAATGACCCGAAAGAGTAACCTGCAACTCATCCTGTCGTTCACACGGTGATGTCATCAGGGCAGCTTGGGTCTCCACAGGGGGGCACCCTGCTTCCAGGTGGCAGAGAATCTCCTACCCAGAAGCCTCCAGTAAGCCAGTTTGCATTCCCAAAACTCAACTGCCGGTAAGGAGACCTCAGCATCGCCCCCAGGGCACTCTCTCAGGGAAGTATTCAGGGGAACCCAAGACCTTGGTGGTTAGCCAGCCACAGGTCCCACTCATACCTCAAGGCCATGGCGTTCTAGGCTTGTCCCGACTGCTCCTGTATTCTTTTCCACACACTTCGCCTTAGCTCTTTGAATGACGACGGCTCTCAGTTTTGAATCTCCAACCCCAGCCTGCTCACATAAGTCCACACCTACTCACCCCGTTTCCTATTTGACTTCTCCACTTGGGTGCCACACAGATTCTTTAACGGGTCTGTGAGAACGAGTTCCTTCCTGCAGTTCCACCACCTTACCTCTAGGTGTCGCCATCTCCGTAAATGACACCACCACCACCACCCTACACTCAACTGCTCAAATCAGTCTCTCTAAGTCATCTTTAAATCTCCCATTACCCTCGACCCCTCAGCTAGCTCAGAAGCAAACTCTGACGATCCTACCCCCTAACACACGTCAGGAGTCCATCCTGTCTCCAACTGCCATGTCGGCCCGCTCACCACCACCTCTGTGCTGGTCTCCCACTTCCATCCGAGCCCCCTTCAATCTGCTTCCTACATGGCAGCAAGAGCAGGCTCTTAAAGCTTGGCGGTGTCCCTGCATTCACAGGGGATAAACCCAAATGTCTTTACCCCTCTTTACCTGTCCTCTCCCATCTCTCCTGATGAACCTCGCACCTCCCCCCGCACTCCATCACCCCTGCCTCGGTTCTGAGTCAGTGTCAGAAACTCCATTTTTTGAACCATCACCACCGCCTCCCGGGGTGCACATCAGCAGGAAGCTGGAATCAGGAGCAAAGCTGGGAGTCAAACCCAGGACCTCCAGTGTAGGTCATGGCCATTTCCACCAGGCGCTCATGGCTGCGCCAACTACTCGCCCCTCTAGCCATTCTGAATAACACCCACCACAGCTTCCTGTATTTATTTCTCTGTTGTCTTTTTTTTTGTCCTTCTTCTCCGAGCTGTCCGTCAAGCATCACATCTGTCTTGCTCATCCTTATAGCCATTGCCTAACACAGAGCCTGGCACCCAAGAGGCCTTTAATTCACCAAACTGTTCTGATCACCTTCTATTCACCTGCTGATGAAGGGAGATCCCTGCCAGAAGAAAAGAATGCAATGGCCAACTGCATGACACGGGACACACTGGACAGAGGCAGGGGACAGCTGCTTATCCGTGAGAGACCAGGATACTCTCACCACCGAGAGGAGAATGCAGTGTGTCCTCCGAGGAGCTCCAGGCCTGCTCTGGAGCAGAGCAGACCATCGGGGCTGTGGGAGACAGGGGGACAGGAGGGCATGGGATTGGCGTGTTTGAGTCATTTCACAGGCTGAGAGGACGGTGAACCCCAGTGAGCTGAGAACTGCGTGGGGTCAGCCGAACCAGCTGACAGCAGAACTAGCCAGGCAGTGAGCCGTCCCTGCTGCATGGATGGTGACAGTAGGGGAGCTCAAGGTTGGAGCTTCGGGCCCTGGGATGCTCAGAGATGTCGAGGCAGCACTTGAACTTTTAGGTCGTACCACATACCAGTCTAGCCAGACACAGCCCATAGCGGGGAGTCGGGAGGAGCTTATTTCTTTATGGGACTGGATGAGTCAATTATTGTTTACTATAAACCCCTGATGTTGTATGCTAATATGAGCATACAAGTAGCTGGTAAATGTTCAAAAAATAACATTGAATAAAACTGAATTCCTAACCTACATTGTTATCCCAAACAGGAGCCACCATGGGCTGCATTCACTGCATATAACAGAAAGCAAGGGGCTGGCGTTGCGGTACAGCAGGTTTAAGCCACTCAAGACACCAGCATGGCATTTCAGAGCACCGGTTCAAGTCCCGGCTGCTCTGCTTCCAATCCAGCTCCCTGATAATGTGCCTTGGAAGACAGCAGAAGATGGCCCAAGTGCTTGGGCCCCTGGCCCAGCTCCAGCCTTTGTGGCCACTTAGGGAATGAACCAGCAGATGGAAGATCTCTGTCTCTCTCTCTCTCTGTCAGTCTGCCTTTGAAATCAATGAAATAAGTTTTGTAAAAGAAAACCAGAAAAACAAGGCAACACTGAATAGTGGTTGATTTTTTCTCTCATGAGAAGTAGGGGGTAGGAAATCCAGGCCTGGAATGGCAGCTTCCCTCAGAGACTCGGCTTCTCTTAGCTTGTCATTCCACCATCTCTAGGATAGAACTTTCAGCCTCATGCTCACAGCACTGTTCCCATGGCTCCAGACATCAAGCAGTATTCCAGGTACAAAGGGAAAAAGACAAAGAGCAAAAAGGCATGAGCTAACTGAATCAACTCCCTTTAATGCATTTTCCTGGAGTCCTACTCACATTATATTGTCCAGAATTGAGCTAAAATATGTGCCAGGAATGTGTTTAGCTGGGCACATGCCTACTTGCACACCCTTGTCCCCAGATGGGACTCTGTCAATAATGAAGATGAGAGACGAGACTAGATAGGCAACTGAACAGGCTGTCCACAGTCAGGGGAGAGAACAGGGCAACTGCACTCGAGGAATAAACTGGATATTTTAAGTAAGGTCTGGAATTGAAGGATGTAGGGGAGGTGGCCTGGAAAACAGGAAACTCCACCAGACAGCTTTTATTTAATCTCATTAGAAAAAAACCAGGTCCATACTGAAAAGAATGCCCAGTAAGTGATGGCCAGGGAGGGGTAGGACGAGCAGTCACAAGGCCATAGTCACAAACTGGCAGAGTGATCACAGGCAAGTCCTCTAGATGAGCCTCTGGTCTATAAAATGACAGGACTGGACTAAATTACTCCAACTCTAAGATGTCACTGTAATGGTGGTCTCCAGTTGTTTAAATTAGGTGACAAATGGAAGCTTAGAGAGAAGACAGATAAAGCAGAGGTGCTCTGGCCGACACAGGGATCAGAATGCTGGAGTTGTACTCGGCCTGGTTTTCATTCCCGAACTTCTCCATAGCCGCACACAGTTCGTGGGTAACTGTAATGGAGCGATGCGTATGCAGTATTTATTGGTAAACATCACACTACTATTACTGTCAGAAACGAAAACTGCTGTGACATGATCATAACAATCTTTTGAAGATTTATTTGAAAGGCTGAATGATAGGAAGGGCTGGGGAGGGAGGGAAGGGGGGGGGGAGAGATCTTCCATCTGCTAGTTCAGATGCTTGCAAGGGCCAGGGCTGGACAAGGCCAAAGCCAGGAGGCAGAAACTCCACCCAGGTCTCCCACAGGGGTAGCAGGGCTTACCCTGCTGTAACCAGCTCCACAATAACCACCTTCACCGCTTTTTTTAAACTATCAAATGAGCTAACTTAGAGTTTCAAATTGTGACAGTCAATCAGCGGAGAAATACCGAATCTCACAACAACAATGACAGAATTTCCTCCAAAATCTACCAGGGCAGAGAGGAGCATGGACTATAAAGGAAACGTTCCAGGGGAACATACTATTATTTTCGAGCTGTTATTTAGATAAGAATTGTTTTCAGAGGAGGAAATTTAAAAAGAACACAGCCTTTGCTTGTCTCCTGTGTGCCGGACTTGGCTACTTCCTGTTTATCAAACTGTGATTGTCAGCAATTGGAAGCAAAGACAAGATCTTACCTCCTGCCAGGCACCTGCTGGGCTTCATCTCTCGTTACACTTCGAGCATTTCCAAAGTTTCTGCAGTGTTCTTTTCATCCCTTGGAAATTACCTTTTAACTTTATTAGACAATAACAATAACAACAAAAAATCTCCATGAGATCTGAAGTGGCTAAACCGCTCCGACCCTTTAGTTTTGGGTAAGATTTCCTGACTAGTCCGTTTCCCCACCCACACGGCTTCCGAAGTGGTGCTCTCTTCTCCCCGCACCAGACGCCTCATTTCCCTGGGCTCTGCATTTTCTCTCGCCACTGCCATCTTTTTTTTTTTTTTTCCTGCCATCTGTTCCAAAACAAGCCTCCGGGGCAGACCCCAGGTGCAGGGCTGCTGTTCTCTGAACCCCAGATCCCAGACACCTGCAAGTCAAAGCTCTTTTTTCTTTTTAACGTTTACCAAGTTCCTCCGTCAGAGCCAAGCATTCACGAAAGGTTATACGTAACTTTTCCAGTCACACACCGGAAATGAGATGCGGCTGAGAAAAACACAGGCCGCGGTCGCGCCCACAAACACCCGCGTCGGCGCCTCTCGGGTCGGGGAGCGGACGCCGCTCTGTGCGCGTGCGCGTGCGTGTGCGCCCCGCCCCCCGCCCCAGCCCGCCAACGGCGGCGGCGCGCGCGGCGCGCGCTTCAGGGGGCGGAGCGTCGGCGCCGCCGGGCCCCGGTCGCTCGCGGGCGCGCGGCCGCAGAGGGTGGCGCCGTGGGGTCTGGGGCGGGGGACACCCCCGGTGCTGTGTGCGGGCGGCGTGCCCGGGCGCGGACCCTCCTTCGACGGACGCCACAGCGTCTGAGGTGACGGCCGAGGAGAGAAGCCCGCCGGGAAGCCGGGCCCGGGTCGCCTCGGGGTGACGCTGTGGTGCGACGGAAACCCGCGAGGCTTGCATGCCCTGGAGACAAAGCGGTGCCTTCCCGTGACGACAGCTGCGAGAGCCACACGCGCCATACGGCGGGCCGGGCGGGGGTCGGCGGGTGGGGGGAGGGGCGCGGCAAGCGGGCGTCGCGGCCGGCTGTCAATAGCGGGGTGGTTGCCGTGGCGACGAGCCCTCGTCCCACCCCCACCCCCGGGGGGGCAGCTGAAAGGACCCATTGTTCTGTAAGTCGCGGGTGCCTCTGAGGAGCACCTCCCCGGGGCCGGGGCTGAGGGCGGAGGAGCTGGCGGGACCGCGCGCCCCCGCGGGCGGGAGGACCGAAGGACCCGGCCCGCGACGCACGGGGGACCCGCCCGCACGTGCGTGCTGAGGTGTGGGCCCAGGGCACTCGGCAGAGCTCTGGAGATTGAAAAGAACCAGGAGGGGCCGGCACTGTGGTGCAGTGTTAAAGCCCTGGCCTGAAGCGCAGGCATCCAATCGGCACCGGTTCGAGTCCCGGCTGCTCCTCTTCCGATCCAGCTCTAGGCTATGGCCTGGGAGAACAGTAGAAGATGGCCCGAGTCCTTGGGCCCCCCCACCTGTGTGGGAGACCCGGAAGAAGCTCCTGGCTCCTGGCTTCAGATCGGCGCAGCTCCGGCCATTGCGGCCATCTGGGGAGTGAACCAGCGGATGGAAGACCTCTCTATCTGTCTCTACCTCTGTCTGTAACTCTGTCTTTCAAATAAAATCATAAGAACAAGGAAGCGCTGGGAGATTTTGCTTGTAAGAGCAAGCAGCTGCAAACAGCCCCGAAATCCTTCCCTGGAGGCTGGTTTGGTAGTAAGGGGGGCCCATACCTGACGTGGAATACCAGCTGCCATCGAAGATTACAAGGCTACCCCTATATGCAGAAAAGGACTTTTTCCAGGATGTTAAGTCACAATGTGAGGTGCAGAAGGGAGCGAGAAGTGGAGTGAAGAGAGCAACTTTGAGCCTGGAGTGTGATGGAAACATCCATTTTGCCACCTCGTCTTTTGAACCTTTTGAATTTTGTGTGTACTGTATGTTACCTGCAAGAAAAAGAACCGTCAAAAAAGAGCTTTAAGTTGCATGTGCTTGAACACTGATGAGATTCAGAACCGTCCAAAGGCACCTAAACTCTTTCTTTAATGCTTTAATGAATGTTCATTTTACAAGCCCAATGCTGTTAACCTGGCACTGAGCCTTCAGTTAAGACACGGTCCATATTTGAGTATCTGATTCCTGGCTTCCAACTTGTGACTGCCCATCTGCCCGTGCAGACCATGGGAGGCAGCAGTGATGGCTCAAGTAGTTGGGACCTTGTCACCCATGTTGGGAGACCTAGAGAGGATTCCTGGCTGCTGATTTGCGACTGGCCCAGACTGGGCCACTACAGCCATTTAGGGAATGAACCAGCAGATGGAAGATCTCTCTCTAACTCTCGCTCTGTGACTCTGCCATTCAAGTAAATAAAGTCTAAAAAAAAAAGGACACACCTCCCTTCCTAGCTTCTGTGGTGCATACAAGGGAAGGAGCCAACTGTCATTCAATATCACTGTGTCTGTTATTGCCTCAGATTAACCATAGGCCCCCCATATTAAGCAAATTTGGCATTTAGGGCTGATTTCATAATTACAGAATGGTAGCTAATCAGTGAAATTGACTATTGAACTCTGATGTCATTGTTGATTTTTTAAAAATATTTATTTATTTGAAGGTCAGAGTTACACAGAGAAGGAGAGGCAGAGAGAGAGAGGTTTTCCATCTGCTGGTTCACTCCCCAGTTGGCCTCAACGGCTGGAGCTGTGCTGATCTGGAGCCAGGCGCCTCCAGGTCTCCCAAGTGGGTACAGGGGCCCAAGCGCTAGGGTCGTATTCTGCCTTCTCAGGCCATAGCAGAGAGCTGGATTAAAAGTGGAGCAGCTGGGACTTGTACCGGCTTGTACTGTATGGGACGCCAGCACTGCAGGCAGTGCCTTCACCTGTTAGGCCACAGCACTGGCCCCTGCTGATCTTTCTACACAGATAAAAAGTGTGTCTTAGCAGTGACTTACTGAGCAACAATAACGAGGTACCATCTGTTGAGCGTTCACTGTGAACTTACCAAACATGGTATCAACGAGTTTGATATGCAATATTTATTTTGATCTTCAAAATAAGCTTTATTTTACAGATGAGGAAACAAATGTTCGATTTGCTGCCACGTCTGAATATGAGTTTACCTCTGACCCTAAAACCTCTGTTTCTAACCTGTACTTTCTGTCTTAACTTTATTTTTTTTAAGATTTTATTTCTTGAGAGGTAGAGTTACAGACAGAGGGAGAGACAGAGAGAAAGGTCTTCCTTCCATTGGTTCACTCCCCAGATGGCCGCAAAAGCCGGAGCTGTGCCAATCTGAAGCCAGGAGCCAGGTGCTTCTTCCGGGTCTCCCACGTGGGTTCAGGGACCCAAGGACTTGGGCCATCTTCTGCTTTCCCAGACCATAGCAGAGAGCTGGATTGGAAGAAGAGCAGCCAGGACTAGAATGGGCGCCCATATGGGATGCTAGTACTGCAGGCAGAGGATTAACCTACTGCGCCACAGCAGGAGGTGTGCACTTGGTATAGCTAAGGCCTCACTTGGGACACTCACACCCCATATCTGAGTACCTGGATTTGCTTTCCAGCTCTGCTTTTGATCCAGTTTATTTTTACTAGGTGATGGCTCAAGTACTTGGACCCCTGGGAGCCCTGAATGGAGTGGTGTTGTTGTTGTTGTTTTTTTGTTTTTTTGTTTTTTTTTTGACAGGCAGGGTGGACAGTGAGAGAGAGAGACAGAGAGAAAGGTCTTCCTTTGCTGTTGGTTCACCCTCCAATGGCCGCCACGGCCAGTGCTGTGGCCAGCGCACCGCGCTGATCCTAAGGCAGGAGCCAGGTGCTTCCTCCTGGTCTCCTGTGGGGGTGCAGGGCCCAAACACTTGGGCCATCCTCTACTGCACTACCGGGCCACTGCAGAGAGCTGGACTGGAAGAGGGGCAACCGGGACAGAATCCGGTGCCCCGACCAGGACTAGAACCCAGTGTGCTGGCGCCACAGGCGGAGGATTAGCCTGTTGAGCCGCGGTGCCGGCCCTGAATGGAGTTTTTGGCTCCTGGCATCCACTTAAGGCAACCTGGCCATTATGGGCATTTGAGAAGTAAACCAATGGATGGGATAGTTTCTCTCTGCCTGTCAAATAAAAATTTAAAATAAAATTTCAGTGACAATTCAGGCTTAGTATGACTCTCCCTAATCTTGTGGTTTCACAAATTGAGCAAAAATTGTGTAAAAATTGGGAACTATATTATGTTTGAGGAAACAGTAGTATGGAGTGTAGTGGATCTGTAACAGTTTTTTAAAAGATTTATAACAGAGCGTGAGAGAGCTTCCATCTGCTGCTTCACTCCCCAAACACAACAGGCCATGTCTGGGCTATGCTGAAGCCGGGAGCCTGGAGCTCCATCCGGGTCTCCCACGTGGGAGACTTGGGCCTGCCTCTGCTACTTTCACAGGTCATTTGCAGGGAGCCGAATTGGAAGTGGAACTGCTGGGATTCGAACCAGTGCTACCAAGGCTTGTAAATTTTAACTCATGTTACAGCTTGGTTGTGCATAGTAAATAAAAGCTCTTTGATTTGTATATAATTAAGGTAGTCGTATTTCAATTTCCATAAGTAAAATTTTTTTTGTAACAGGCTCATCTATGCATTGTCTGTGGCTGCTTTTGTGCTACCCTGGAGAGTTGAGTAATTGCAGCATAGATTGTGTGGCCTGCAATGACTAAAGTATTTGAACCTTTACAGAAATGTTGGCTGATGTGATCTGGACCCAGAATGTCAAAAGAGAGAAGGACTTTTCTCATTCAGAAATACCATTCCCATTCTGCATGCGTTATTTTCATGTTCACCCATGTACTCCAGTCCTATTCAACACCACACACTGAGTGTTGTCCCAAAGGGCTTTAGCATTGAGAAAGTGATGCCAGTGTTAAGCAGTGGTCATGGTATGTCTGTGCATTCAGCCACCAGGGTCTTCTGCTTTGTTAGCATGAGAAGTATCTCAGCAGCCTTTGCTGTCAGTGCTCTGCCTCACCAGAGGCCTCCCAGGAAAAAACACAGCCAAGGACAGATGATGCTTTGTGCAAATGAAGCAGTTTTAAGAGTTGAAATAAGTGTTTTGTGGCTGGCGCCGCGGCTCAATAGGCTAATCTTCCTTCCACCTGCGGCGCCGGCACACCAGGTTCTAGTCCCGGTCAGGGCGCCAGATTCTGTCCTGGTTGCTCCTCTTCCAGTCCAGCTCTCTGCTGTGGCCCGGGAGTGCAGTGGAGGATGGCCCAAGTGCTTGGGCCCTGCACCCGCAGAGGAGACTAGGAGAAGCACCTGGCTCCTGGCTTTGGATCAGCGTGGTGCGCCGGCTGCAACGGTAAAGGAAGACCTTTCTCTCTCTCTCTCTCTCTCTCTCTCTCTCTCTCTCTCTCTCATTCTCACTGTCCACTCTGCCTGTAAAAAAAAGAAAGAAAGAAAGAAGTGTTTTGTGATATCACACACAGCAGTTAAAACCATCTTGGATGATTATTGCCACTGTTTTT